TAAATAATTGGCATAGGTCTGAGCAATGGCGTTTATCGTTGAGTTAAGTACTAAAGCATCAGTGCAATGGAGTTGACGATAATAGTTGTGCTGAAGAAGGGCTTGCTGCTGAAAAGTTGTGGGTGTTGATGTTGTTGTTATTGTTTGTGTAGATGAGCTACTTGATATTCTTGATACAGTTGCTGTTCCTGTAGTAGTTGATATTCTTGAAGCAGTTGTTGATGATGAGCTACTTGTGGTCTTTGGAATTGTTGTTGTGGCCGTAGTGTTCTTTGTGACTGAGATGCTAGTTGTGGTTGCTGAAACTGGAGTGGTTGTCGAGCACAGTGGGAGTACATTAGAAGAGAATGAACCGATTACATTTCCTGGAGGATAATAATTAGCCACAACATAAGCGGTTCGATTATCACTTGTGAAAGCGATACCGATTCCTAATTGTTTTGATCCTTTCCAAATTACTTGTGTGAAATGACCAGTCGATGATGAAAATCCTGGTGAACCAAAGTTATATGAACTGATTTCACTATACCAACTGTTTGTTGGCGAGGAACCTAGAAGACATTCAGTGGAAAACATATTCGATTCGTTTTGGTGAATAGTATGGGATGATGATTACCGTTGACAGATCGAATTGCTCCCGATGACCATATTGCCCAAAGATTTTCGCCCAATCCTGAGGTACCACTATGCTGAAATAGATTGTTTGCTGCTAAATAATTGGCATAGGTCTGAGCAATTTTGCTTATTGTTGAATTAAGTACCATCGCATCAATGCAATGAAGTTGACGATAATAGTTGTGTTGAAGAAGAGCCTGCTGTTGAAAATCAGCCAGCACAATAGCACCTGATAGCGGGCGGTAGATGCTGACGGCAATAGTGAAAAATATTATTTCAAGCAGCATGATACTTCTTCTAAAATGAATGATCGTTATGTTTGTTGCTGAAGATTTTATTTGATGTAGTGGGATACATGTACGTAGTCCTTTTTGGGGCGGAAATGTGAAACTCACATATGTTGTCTAGCCTCATCAGACTAATAGAAAAAATATGCAAATTGAAAAGGCTCTCGTAGACTATAGTTAGTTTTGCAGGATAATCGAACACTACAATAATAACCTTCCCGACATTCTGCGATTGGAAGAGAAATTTTTTATGTTTTCGATGTGAGCTCTATATTTTGTGTGCATTGTTGCTGTGCGTCCTCAATTTTAGGCATTTTTTTCGTTGTTCTTTGTAGTTTAAATATCTTATTATTATAATGATTGAATTAATCGGCAAATAAGTCTATTCTACATATCCATCATATCTACAGAAGATTTTGCGCAGGATTATATATAAATTGATGAAGTCAGCGAATAGTGTTGACTTTGTTTCAAAATTTTAATTTGCTCAATTTTGCAAAAAGAGCTTTAAAAATTCTGATGCCTACTATTCCCGATGGCGAAGGTCTCTAATGGGAAACCGGTGTTGCTAAGCATCTGCAATGGAGAGGCAGACGGGGACCACAAAATTTTGTTCTTAAGCTTATATTCGCCATTTTATTCGAAAATATATGTGAGTTTCACCAAAGAGGAAGAAATGGCAGCCCTATACCTGATAAGTATAGTTTCCTTTGGAACACTATTACCTTAAGAACTAATTATTACTTGATTAATTTTTCTCCAGCTGGAAGACAGTATGAACAAGTTAATGTTTTAGTTGTCCATATATTTAAGTTAAATCATACGGGGGTACAGAAAATTAATGTATGCTCGATGTTTGGTTTGTTTCAATTGTAAAAATATGATTGAAAGACATGAAAAGAACGATAGAAAAAGTACATCTTTTTAAAAGCGAAAGTGTTAGTTGTTTTGAAAGCGAGATTCACTTAACTACACAAACAACATCCATGTTACATGGACTCGCCATTAACAGTAGTTTGTTTCATTCACAAGTGTTCTGTTTTCGATAAAATGTATTGATCGGGCCAAATACGACATACGAGCACATTTTCGAGCGAATCTTTTATATGTTCTCATGCGTATCAGAGACGGACAGACTACTTTGCCTGTCCAGAACGACCATTACGGAGACCAGAAACGGTCGTACACGACCGTTTACGACCGCGTATACGGCCGTATAAGGCGGATTTACGGCCATATACGGCCGTATCTTCGCCGTATTTCGTGGGACCGTATCACGGCCGTATTTCGCCGCGCCGCATACAGCGTAATACGGCAACCGTATACGGCCGGAAATCAACGTATACAGTGGCTGTATACGGCCGTAAATCACCGTATACGGTGGCCGTATTTCGCCTATCTTATCAGGACGAACTTTCTCTGATATTATAACGACAACACATCGGCATGCCCGCGTAAATCCTAGGGTTATCAAGAACGCTCTATCGATTCCTAGGTATAGGTATGGGACCCCACCCAGTACCACACTGAGAAATAGAATCCCAATACCTCATCGGTCCATTTACTGGACCAATGAGATTTCAAGATGACTTTTCGCTGTTATTATAAGGACAACATATACGCATGTTCGGGCTGATCCTAGGGTTATCGAGAATTCTCTATCGATTGAGGGGTATATGTATGGGTCTCCACCTTGCGGAACAGGGAGAAGTGAAATGTGAGCGAGCTGCTAGGCAGGAGAGTGAAAAGTACTTACCCAGTGTCGAAGTTGGTAGGATGAGAAAGGGTGAATCGATTTGGTGCTGATACTCATATACGAGTGTTGCACCAAACAAAACGGTGAATGAAGAGTGAACTTCTGTTTTCTCATTGGCCCATTTCGACCAATCAGATTTCAGGGGGAGTTTTCTTTTTTATTATAAGGACAACATATAGGCATGTTCGGGCCGATCCTAGGGTTGTCGAGGATTCTCTATCGATTGAGGGGTATATGTATGGGTCTACTCCTATCCCTTCATAGAGATACAGCAATGCGGGCTTTGATTGGTCCTTTAACAGGGGCGTCTTACGAGGTTTTATAATACTGGCGTATACAGCCGTCGCGTTGCCACGCGGGTCATAACCGGCGACAGTTTACGGCCGATGTTTACAGTTGCTGTAGTATGCCGTAATGCATTAGGTACGACTATTGTAAACGGCGATCGGAAACAGTTGACGTATACGATGCCTTACATTGTTTTCCGACCAAAGTATAGAGTCGCCGTATTGTTACGGTAGCAGTTTACGGTGGACTTGGACGGTGGGCGTGTACGATTGACATAATATACTGTAAAGCATCGTTTACTGTCGCCGTAAACAGCTACTGTAAACAGTCGTCGTTATTCGCCGTAGAGTAGTGTCACATATCCAAGATTTTGGAGATGCCACCACATCTCCCGTGGGAGATGCCGCGTCTCCAGCGGGAGACACGACACCCACACTCGAGAGATATGGTCATTCACCACTGGAGATGTAAGATCTCCTTTAGATATGCGCATCCTCCACACCCACACCCGCATCTCTCACGCGAGATGCGGCATCTCCCGCGGGAGACGTGGTGGCATCTCCAAAATCTTGGATATGTGACACTGCTGGGTAGTTGGATATGGTTGAGGGTGGGTAGTGAGAATTTGGCCCGTGGGTTCAAGTGTGGGTTTGAATGTGAGTATGTGTCTGAGCGTGGTGAGACTGGAGATGAGATTATGGGTAACTGTGTGTGGTCCATGTCTCAATCATGTTCATTTCTTGAAAAATCCTTGAAGAATCTGCCAGAATCCTGAATACTGAAGATCTTGTCAGGTTTGGTTCACGAACTTATCTCAAAACCTATTGATTCCTGTATGCAGAATTTCTTCAGATTAAACAGCATTGTTTACAGGATTGGTTCGAGATCTTGCACAGATTTTTTATGAACGAAGACTGCAGGATACTACTGAGAATTAGCTTTAATCCTATGTAGGATCCTTGCAGAAATAGTAGACCAGAGTTGACATATGGGTGTGGATATTCGTTTCATGTATAGCCATTTCCATACTTCGCTCACACACTACTACCCACACGACACCCTGTATGAGACGATAACGTAACAATTTATCAAATTCATGTGAAATAATATAAAAGTGATGAAAATGTCAGAGTAACGTTGTTTGATGGTATTTTAGGAACATGAATATGAGTGCCCATCTACTAGTGACGTTACTGAATTGATGCATAATGAGACAACTCAGCCTTGAGGATGGGGTTGTGGGTGTGAGTGTGCGGTGTGTATGAAGGCAGTATCTATATCCACATCCATAACTACACCCACACCCACGCCCACACCCACATTTACATCCAAACCCACATCCACACTCCACACCCACACTTCACACCCACACTTCTTCGAAGTATCGTCACTCAAAGAGATAGTCACGAACGAAATTTGAAAGAAGGAACAGAAAAGAAACACGTCAGAATTCTTCAAGAACAAAACACGAAAAATAATAAAGATAACTAAAGGCATTCATCAGTCACAATTATAGCAATCGAATTTGTCTAACACGCCTGCTTTTGCTGTTGTTGTTGATTATTCGTAATGCGTATATGAAGATCAAAATAAATTTGTTCAATATTTTGCTTTAACATCGTATCTCGTATATCTGAGCTTTGTGCAACCTTTATGAAAGAAAAATGAGAAATGACAAGCAAAGACATTATCAAAAATTTACCGATGCATAAAGATTCTCCAACTCATTAAGGCATTGATGAAGGTCATGAACAAGATGATTAACAGTAAGCATACGATCATCATGTGTAATTGGATCACTAAAAAACATTAATACGTATATATCTATATTAAATAAGAAAAAACTCAAAAAAAAAAATTATTTTAAAATATTTACTCTTGCTTCGGATCGTTGATTAATGGTTCGGCTACAGATGGTGATGAAACTTCCGGTTCTTGTTGCATTTTCCTCAAATCTGGTATTGATAGACTTTGTTTCACTTTAATCTCGGTTAGATTGTTATCATTATTAGTATAAATATTATTATTACCATTTAATATGCATGTTCGTAAATCATTTGTCGAATGAGAATATTGTTTCTTTTCAAGATTCTCTTTTGTTTGATTTGCTTTTGTTCGTGATGATAGTTGTCTATTCGACGATGCTGCTAAGTTCGATGGACATCGAGTTATATGAGATATTGTTACATGATCAAGTGTTCTCGATTTTGGTTGTTGCATAGTTGTAGTAGGAAGAGTAAGACTTTTTGTTGAATGAGATTTCGTCAGATCTTTACTTGTTGGCATTGTACGAGTCTCTAATGAAGCAACTGATCGATCACGATGTCTTTGAGAATTCACGACTAAGCATGTTTTAGATAAAGATGATTGTTCAAAAATAAGTACCGATGGTTGTTTTGATGGTGTTCTAGTTTCACGAATTTTACTCTTTGAACTTGATGTATATGCTGCATATGATGATACACAAGAGTGAGACGATGCTGTTGATATCATATTTTCTGTAATGTTATTCAGCGAAGTAGTGGATGAAAGAAGGCGACCTTCGGATTCTAGTCTATTGCCTAAATTATAATAAATTCAAGTAATGCAGATAGGCTGAAAAGTTTTGGACAAATTTTCCATCCGTTCAAAAGTGCTCTATATGAATGCAAAAATGTAGATAAGGAGCAGAATTTTATGCCGTTTCCATATATGAATTCAGGAATTCTATGTCTAATTTTATTTGTGAGCAGTGAGAGAATCTTCGACAGGCTTAAAAATTAGTTTGGACCGAAATATTTTTTGTACATTTTGATATTTTTAGTCTTAGATATCCAAAACTCAACATTGAAACATTGATTCATATATCAGATTGTAGAGCAAATCATGCCAAACTAAATGTAATATTTAAGTTTCTTTATGTTTCCTATAAAGCATTTTAAATTTTCCTTTCATATTATCATCAGTTTTTTAAAACCGATTTTTCGACTAAAATTGATCTCATGTAGAAATAGCTTCTCAGAAAACTCTTATAGTGTCACTTATATAAAAGCTAAATTAGACTTTGGCAACATATTTTGTAAATCATTGTGAACTCCACAAAACCAGCATACGCAACTGTTATTATCACCTTCATATAAGGTTTATCGAGCCAGTGAATGTCTTTTTATTCCCCAATCAAACCGGTATTTCGGTATTTTCAAAGATTCTCTCAGTGCTCACAAACAAAACTGGACACCGAATTTCTGAACTCATATATGGATAGAGCATAAAATTTCTATCGTTTTCCACATTTTTCCATTCATATACAAAACTTTTGGATGGCTGATAAATAGAGGAAGAGTTAGTCCAGAAAATTTCGATCCATCCGTTAAACATTATTTTTCAATATACAAATGTTTTTCACATATCTTAAGAAGAGTTCTTTCACTATCTTGTATATCAGTTCGACTAAAGTATTTTCAGTCGGCAAGGGATCTGTAGTTTTGTTATAGAAAATTAAGAACAATGATAATACAAGGTTATCCAGGGACATAGACAGGGGCTCTAAACAAAAAAATTGGCTATTAGTACATGTAAACAGTTTTTTTTGTCAATCTAGAAACAATTTAGTTACATTCTCAGGTATGAACTTTCCTCCTGCTTTGACTTAACAACAATCAGTAACTTACTACAAGTCATTTGATTTTCTGATAGTTTAGGCGATCCTGCTTTCGTAGCCACATCATAGAGTGTTTCAGATTGTGTACTTTTGCTTGTTGAGATGGTTATGGGCACATCTTTCTGAGTCGTATTTACTGATATTGATAATGTATCCCGTGCTCTTTAAAAACAAGTTTATGTAAATGATTTCTTTTTTTTTCTCTTTCACTCCTTACGATATATCTTTTGATAGTAAAAAAACAAGAACACGAAGCACTCGTTTATCGTTGAAGTTTACTATTGGAAGCACCAGCGACTATTGTATTGATTATTCGACATTCATGATCATCGTTTTCAGTATAAAATGAATTCGCTTCTGTAGTTGAGTTTTCTGCATAAGTTGAAGTTGTATCATTATCTGCATAATGATAAAGCTATAGTTTGTGTTTTTTTCAACTTTAATCGAACAAAAAAGAAAAAAATCTGTACTGGAAAAAACTGATTCATCATCTTGTGAACAAATCATTGTATCAGTTGAACTAAATAAATTGTTTTCTCATTCATGAAAAGCAAATAAAAGTTACATATTTACTCTTTATTGATATTGTCCGGTAATTGTGAATCAATGAATTCAGTTTCAAGTTGCTAAAACAAGTAAACTATTTTTACTTGAGAAAAAAAAACTCTTTGAATTAATACACACTGTTAAATGACGTTTAGGAGTTGTCAATAAACTTTGCCGAAATTTTGTTTGCAATTGATGTTCTTCAATTACACTCGATGTCTAATCAAACTGAAGTTTACTTTCAAATACAATAATTCATTCAAGTTCAACCTGTGAAGTTTTTTCAGAGACTTCAATTCTAAACAATAGAAGTAAAAAAGATAAAACTAAGAAGCTTTCAAGAATAAAAACTTACACATCAAGATCATTTGTTTTCGGTAATGGTGTCGATGTTAATCAACATCTTGATGGAGCAACAGCTATTTCTCCAATATTTCACACAAAAATACAACTAAAATTTAGATTAAAAAATGAAACAAATCTTAACGTTCGAAGGTGTGGGTGTGGGTGTGGTGTAGGTGTGGGTGTGGGTGTGGAGTGTGGGTGTGGGTGTGGATGTGGGTGTGGGGTGTGGGTGTGAGTGTGGGTGTGGGGTGTGGGTGTGAGTGTGAGTGTGGGTGTGGGGGTGGGTGTGGCGATGGTCTTTAGTGAATCCACACCAACATCACCCACCCCACACCACACTCACACCCACACCCATACCCACCCACACCCACACCCACACCCACACCCAACCCTCGAGATATGGACCCCAAATATCTAACTGATACAGCTTTGACATTGGTAATGTAATACTATATCCACCAGTATTGTTAAAAGATATTGCAGGCAATTGAGAGTTTTGTTCGCGATTTATAAGCGATATTTTTTTACCAGTACATGATAGAGAAATAGAACGACAATTCTTCCTAATAGACTTCTTATTTTTTCGTTGACTATTGGAACCATTATTTTTAGAGGCAGTTCTGTGGCGTTGTTTCTTATCAACTGGCTGCATCTGGGTGTACTTTACGGCTTGTCCACGTCACCCGACACTTCGCTGATCAAGTTTCGAAAAAAAATTTTTTCGAGTTGAACAGATTTGAATGGGTTACTAGATGCAATTTTTAACGCTGATTACGAATTTGATATTTATTTTGTAAGGTGCACCAAATGCAAAAGTGTAGCATACAAAAAAAGTTTTTTGTTTTATATATCGTTAGATAGAGCTCGTCGAGCTGAACCTG